AAGGAAAATGGCCCTCAGATATGTATTAGGGAGAATCTGAAACCTCAATTACTTGTGTTTTCTTTTTGTAGAATATGTCAAAGAAAATCTCAGGCATAATAACACATCACTCATATAAATCCATTCTTCAGCTTCTACAGGCTTTAACCTAAAAATCATGGTATCATTGCACCTAACAAAATAAATGATAACATTATTGAATACTGACCTCTATTCAGAGTTCCTGGGTTCATTCCAAAGATGCTTTGGAAAGGATGTCAATGAGATGGGACTCAGGGCTTGGTTTCCCCCCCTCAGGCTCTTTTACTCTGTAACAGCCCTCCTCCTCCTCCTCCTCCTCCTCCTCCTCCTCCTCCTCCTTCTCCTCCTCCTGTGTGTTCATGTCCATTGTTCTCTTGGAAATATAAACTGAGATCCTCCTTGTGATTCATAAATGTGGTGATTGAGTTTTCAGGTCACTGTGAGGATAGGCTTCTCTCAAACTGTGTTACAACAGCAGGGCATTACTTGTCTGACATGTTAAAAAGGAAAGAAATAAAATATAAGTCAGATCCAGTCAGTCTGGGCTTAACCCTCCCCCTCAACAGACTCTTATTTATGTTACCTTGCAGATAACATAAAGGCCCAAAGCTTCACCACACCCTAGGCCCCTCCTGATGGCTGCCTGGCTACCTCTCAGAGGCTCTCCAGCACAGTCCATCCCAAACCTGTTTTTACCCACAACTCTGTACTTACCTTTCCAGCTGCACAGAATGCTTTATCCTCTCCACATCCTGTGGAAGTGGCTTCATGCCCAGTGCCTGATGGGAGATAGATGACTTCCCTGTGACATGTTATGAATGAGCTCTTCTTCCCCCAGGCTGCCCTACATCACATCACCTTGTTCCCATTTCTTCATGGAGTTTATTACTGTCTGAAATTACATTCTTCTTAATGCGTTTGCTTCCCCACGTAATGGGATGTTAGAGTGGAAGTCCCTTAGCTAAACACTGAAGAAATAAATGTGAACTATTGAGGCTAGGTAACCACCTATAAAAATCTACAAAGGGAGTGGTCACGAATCCTTCCCCGATTCATGGTGCCTTCAGGGAAACAAAGGGGGGGTTTACGGAGGATTTCCCCGAAAGGAATTGTTGCTGTCCTGAGAGGCATGTGGGTATTGCAGAGACAGGGCCATTTAGAGACCTTGCAATCTGCTTTCCATGGTTAGTGGGATGGGAGATGTGCATCAGATATGAGACTGTATTTGAGTCCTGCCTGAGAAGACTAAGGTGGGTATCCTGGGGAAACAGCAGAGCAGGTACTGTCCTGGGCTCTGCCTGCAGCCACAAAGCCTGCTGTGCTAAGAGCTGTTTGAGCATTTGCTATGGACCCATGGAGACTGTCTCAGTCCATTTTGAAGCCATTAGATCTGAATACTTGAGACTGAGAAATCGATAGAGAACAGAACTCTTGGTCTCAGTGTGGTGGAAGCTGGGAAGCCAAAGATTGAAGTGCCAGCAGGTTTGGGTATCTCATGAGCATCCAGTTCCTACTACCCAAGTGACATCCTGAATGTCGGAGGGAGAAGAGGGGAAAGGCCATTTTCCACATAGCAGAAGAACAAGCTAGAGAGGGCCTGTTCCCACAAGTCCATCTCCTAGCAGCACTAATCTTGTTATGGGGCAGAGCTAACACCTAAAACCTCCCTGGAGCTCCACCTCTCACATCTGCAGAATTGGAGATCAAATTTCCAACATATAAATGTTGCCAAAGATACAAACTATACCCTGAGCCATGCAAGAAAAACCAGAAAAGGATTTTTGGGTTCCGGATTCCTAGAGATACAACGACCCAGCTAAGACCTGTTCTTCCTAGAAGCTGAGGAAGCACAAGCATCACTCAACAGGAGCATGTAGAGAGGCTCAGCCTGGACCATCTGCAGGCCCCAGACACAAAACCTCTCAGCCTGCTAAGAACAGGACGTTCCCTTGCCACTTTCCACACACATATAATCTCCACCTTCTATAGGAAGTAAAATACCAGCCAGGAAGAGGGGCAAATAAGGAGGTAAATAAGAGAAAGCAGAAGCTGGCTATATCCATGTTCCAAGAATCGGAAGGTGATCTACTAGAGACCATAATTCAAAGGTGCTGACTCAACCTCTGGATAGAATTGAAGGATCTTTTTAAAATGAATAATCCTTTCCAGAGTTCCTGCAGTGCAATCAGCATGAGTTATATAAAAAATTCCTTTCTCTTTATTTTATTTCATGCTTCAGATTTTTGATACAGGGTCCCAGGTTATGCTAGGCTGGCCTTTAACTCACTGTATAGCCAGGGATGTCCTTGAATTGCTGATTCTTCTGCCTCCACTTGCCGAGTCCTGGGGTTACAGGTGTGCATCAGAGTACTTGATTGGTATGCAGGATTGGGGATTGAATCCAGGGCTTTCTGAATGCTAGGCAGGTACTCTCCCAACTAGGCTACACCCCCAGCCCCAAACTGAGGCATCAAATTATTGCCTTTCACCAGTCATTTGGTTTTTTAATCTTTATTTTTTACACACGTGTGTGTGTATGTGTGTGTGTGTAAATGCCCATGGAGACCAGGAGGGGGCATCAGATCCCTAGGAGCTGGTGTTATAGACTGTTATGAGTAAATTGAGGAATGCTAGAACCCAAGCTCTAGTCTTCTGGAAGAGCAGTACACATTCTTAACCACTGAGCCATCTCTCCAGCCCC